GACATGACTCATTTCAATTCAAATAGTTTGGATCTGGCTTTAGGAGACATTTAATACTCAAATTTTGCCTCTAAATGTCACGTCCGCAACGTGGAATTGGCCTTATTCATTTTTCTCTATTTCCATCAAAAATTTCTACGATGATCAGCAATTTTACTACTAACCAATTTTCACTCTTCCTTTTTCTGGCCCTTCACCCATAACAAGTATATTGGCTGGTTTCTAAAACAGTAAACAAAGGGAAAAAAAAAATTACAGCTCAATCTAAATCTAAGTCAGCTGGTGTTACATTCTAGCAGATGTTTTAATAAAAATAACTTTGAATTTTCCTTTCACTTGATCAATTTAAAATTAGATTTGGTTAAGTCAGTGAAAATTCACATTTGCCCCCCGTTAGGTAAGCATCCTGGCAGATGTGCCTCCTGACCAGCACCCTTTCAAACATATGTTTGCAGCAAATCGCTAAAAACAACAGGCATTTATCCTTAACCTGAAGCATGTCTATAATGGTTTGGGGGTTTTTTGCTTAGTTTTTCTTGTTTTTCTATCAAATAAAAAGCAGTTCAATTTTCAGGAAGGTAAAAAAAAAATGTCATTTTAACTGAGAACAACATGTAACTGAAACACTTTCACAAGTATGTATTTCTTCAATCATGTCAAGTAGGTGTATTGTTTGAGTTTGTACTACTCATGGCAAATTAGAATTTTATTTTTCTTGGGGCCACATTATATTATGTTAATACAATATCACATCTTGGATAAGAGAAAGTGTAATTTATAACAAAATTGTACTCGCCAAAAACTACATGTCCTACAAACTATGCAATAAGATGTTGTCATTATAGATAGTTACCAAGTCTCTATGCAGAACCCAGTTAGAATGAAGATAATGGATGCCATCCAATATCTGATAGAGCAAAGACTTAACCATTCCTTTGGGAACAGGGACAGCCTTCTTTTGGGCCTTGGATGCTCTATGATATTTGATGATGTGCTTTGGGAACAGATGAAAAGAAAATACCACAGTACACATAATCTAAAGGATTCACCTTGAAGTATTCATCAAAAAAATCACGGTATGCACAATTGGTTATCCTTTCAAATGGAAATGTGTTCTTTTTTTCAGGAAGTCACAGTACTTGTAAAATTTACCACCTTCAGTATTTCTTAGTATTGCCCAAAAATTGCTTGGAATTCTTGAAAATTCAGCCACTAAAGGGTTCCTCTACCAGTTTGAAAATTTCTCATACAGTGTACCTGTAGTCCTTAAAATTAGGGAAAACACTGGTTATAAGCTACATGTGAAAAGACAAAAGCTCAGCTATTTAGATATTTGTGCATGTTTTTCTTCTCACGGGATGAATTTTGGTTGAAAAAAATCCAAAGCTAAAAAAGAAGATTTACCACTCACCCATAGATCGTGCTCTGCAAAATCAAAAAGAAGCCAAACTTTCCTATCAGCATGCGACAGAAACACACGTTGCAAGGCAATTACATTTGGATGTTTCAACTCTCTAAGAAGCTGAATAAAAAAAAATACATGAAAACATTATCACAAGGTATGATCACAAATGTGATGTCTGACTTATAATCTCCACTTTTTTAGGCTATAACCAATAGAAAAAAATTAAAACAAAACTGGTTCGCGCACACATGTACACGATTACTTCGAATTCGTGTTTTTATTCATTTGCCGACAACATAAATGTCTTGATGACTCACTGCTATCTCACGGCAAGCTGACATCGAGATCCCGGTTCCTTCGATCTGCTTAAGGGCGAAATATTTCCCATTTGGACTGGCAAGAAAAGCAAACAAAACCAATAAGACGACTGTAAAATAACGAATTGATGTAAACAGCCTCGAATGCAATTAGTAGTTGGGTATGTTCTTACCAATCTTTTTGTTTAGCTTTATAAACGTGTCCATAGGTTCCTCGACCTACTTTGCAACCTTCAAAATCAAATTTATCCTCCACTCTTTCCCTCTGCTCGTTCGTTTTAAGTTTAAATTCAAAATCCATGACTGAAAAACAAATACTTCTTTCATGGGCCAACATAAACTGCCGCCATGTTTTTATTATCCTTGATGAGCCTCGATTTTGTGTTGCTGTGCTACATCGCTGGTTTCCAGTCTCTACAAGATAAAAACAACTACAGACACAAACTTTGCAAAATTTCCTCAGCAGAATCAAACTTTGCGGCTGCCTTCCATGAAGGAAGGGATTTAATTTTACAATATATATATGCAAATTTTTTAATGCAGACTGGTTGTTTGTTCAAGTTATTACCGTTGTTGTTGTGGTAATCGTTATTTGTTCCTCAGCACAGGACACATCGTCGTTGGGTCTACTAAGCAAGGCCAAGCGAATTTGAACTTTTACATCTTAGCCTCCCGTCCCCGGAAAATTTTCTCATTCACTGTCTAGCCCCCGGTAAGTGGTCTAGCTGCCAGTTCTGGGAAAGATCTATTGTCATTTCTATTTCCGGGAACCAAGTGTTCACTTCATAACAAATGATGGCGGCATTTGCGTTTGCACACCCGCGAGATTTACTTACTTGCGATATCATCCAGAAATACGAATCCGTGAAAGAAAGTAATGCAACCACAAGAAAGAAGAAAAGATGGTGTGAGGGTTTAGAGCAAAACATAAAACAGATCTATCCAAATCGAAAACTTATCTTGGTCGGGTCTTCGACAACAAGCTTTGCAATCGAAGGTTGTGATGTCGACTTGGCCCTCATTCGTACGGAAAGCCAAACATTTTACGACTTTGAGTCGGGATTACAGATTCTGAGTCGAATCCGAGGTGCTTTGAACTCAAGACCATCATTGAATACTGAGGTAAGGTTTTCAACCGATCACACTTGTAATACTTGGGGTACTTGTTTGTAAATATTAATCATGCGTCAGCTTATTATGCAATTTCTTGCAGAATAATGTTCAACTTTTAAGCATTCAAATATTGTCGCTTGTATGCGACGTACTGTTTTGAGGAAATTGAAGTCTTTTTGCTGAAATAAGATTACAACGAAATCAGTAGTTTCGATGCGTCATGTCTTGACTTGTCCTTGACCAAGGCTGACATCATGTAAGTCTCGCTTGAAATAACTCTGCAAAATACTTCCCAAGTTATGCAAGGGAGATTTTCAAGAATTAGCAAAATTCTCCGGACTTGATCAGTGAATAAACTCGCGGGCTAATTTCAGTGAAAGAAGTCCTATTTTGAACCACTGAAATACCGTGATTTATGACACTATCGATTTGCTAATTCCCGCACAATTCTCTCGCTAACAACGGTGGTGTAATTCTTATTACAAATCAAGTTTTTTCAGTTGCTTGCGAACACTACCATTTCATTGTAGACTCAATAGCCACCATCTCTTATCTCAAAACGATCGCTGCAATATTATGTACAGAAATTCAACCTTTTACTAATGTTTAGTTTCTGGGTTTCATATCTCACGCGATGTGGCCTTCACTGATCAATACCTTAGATATTTGTATTAAATTTCCTTTTTGAGACCTACAATTCTTTCTCTCTATTTCGATTAGAATCACATAGTACCTCAAACTCTTCTATGGTATAGGCTGCCGTTGCATATCAAACATTTCCGCAGAACAAGAGCAGAACGGCAGACTAAACGACAGAAAGAGTGAACTTCCACACTTACAAATGTTCGGCGCTCGCCCTTTTTCAGAACTCGCTCTCACGGTTGAAGCCATGCCTCGATGGTCTTATACCAGTATAATTGCACTTCCACTGAGGCAACGTAAAAAAGGTGGTTTAGGGTAGGAAGTGAATCATCTTCCTCTGCAAAAGCAGTCTTATCATATGCTCGTGGAGTAAACATGGCAGGTGTGGTACGCGCAAGCTGGGAAGTCTATTCGACCTCTTTGCTCTTCTTAGCAAGTATTCCTCTTATTATCTTGAAACTAACTTAACAAACAATTGTTCGAGACCCTGTGGTAGAAGTAACTGTATATAGCTATGACTGAGGAATGTATATCTTTTTGAATTCGTACTTGGGATGATTTTTTTTTTTTTTTTTAATTAATCATTGAACCAGTAAGATAAATGTTCGGTATACCTTTTGAATTGCCTTTGCGTTTGCGAATGTGTGGTTGCAGATGAGAAGAATCGATACCTACAAAGCTAATGGTACTTCCACAAGTTCTATTTACTTAAAAGTCATGTTAAATAAAACAATTAAGAGCAAATGTTTGAATTGACCGAGTGAAAATCGAAAAATGTGGCACATGATCGAAAAATTGAAAACCTTCATATTTTGCCCAGAGATACCTTTTAGTGAGCTTAGAAACGTGGTTAGGTTTTTTTTTTTTTCCCAGACTTGCTTCTTTATCCTAGAAAATTCACCAAAACTGAAACGAGCGTCGGTAGCCGTAAAATGGTGGAAATCAGTGCCCTGAGTAGAGGCAAATGAACTTTGCTCATGAAAAGCGCAAAAGAAAGGAAGCTCATATCAAGTTGACAAATTTGTATAGGAGGGATTGAGGTATACGTAAGTCTAAAACGGGACCGTTTCATTTAATTTTGAAATCACGGAACGCTTTTAAAAATCACCAATATTTCAAAATCCAAATATCGCATTTTGTAGCACATTTTCAATTACCATTGTCGCCATGCGGTATAACTCAGAATCGGTTTAGGTTAAGCTCATGATAAGTGAAATAGTTTGGGGCTTTTCATTTCCGCACGGAAAAACCAGGCTGAACTTTGTGAAAATCGCAACATCGTCATTTTCGTCACGACATAATCTAACTAGGCACCCCGTGGTTAAATCCGGAATTCCAAGCACAATTTAGAAGTTAGCACCGTGGTCGATCAGGAAATCAATACAGTAAGCTAGCCTTGCGTAGCTAACCACGGCAGATTGGTTTTTATCTCTGCCTTCGTTTCAAATTATCATCCATTTCCCATGGCGGAATTGTTTACAATAACACATTCCTTAAGCTGGCGGCGGGCGTCTATCTTTCTTTGGGTATTCGAACAGCTATAAGTCTTAAGAAAGTTCTGGGGTAAACTTGAGCTTCATTGTGGACTTGAAAGAGGGCAATTCAATGATTTATAACGGCAGGTCAAATGTTCTTTGCCGAAGACGTTGAAGACGGGAAGCAGTCTGTGTGTAGATGTGACACACTCAAGCATTGGTCACGCAAGGCTGAAATTATTTCAATCTTGTTCCCATCTTGTAATTGTACGGCCACGAATATCCATGAATAGTGTTTCTAACAAACTTTTCTATATTATAATTTTTCTTATTAGTTAGTCATTGCTGTGAAACTTGTTAACTTCGCAGCGGGGAGTACCTAGAAGAGCTAATAGGCAGAACGCGAAACAACAAATAGCTATAAAAGGAAATAGACATTTTCAATTGACATTTCTTTTTTTAGATTTTGACGTTCAAAATATGTTGAATTGGTGTCAGTGACGTTATACACCAATTAATCGCAGCTTCAACATCCGGGGAAATCCACAGGCTTTTGACTATCGTCCTTTGAACCATGCCTGGGTAGGGTAGGGAATTGGAAACGGAAGCGTCGAGTCTTTCCGGTGGAATACTGGTGGTTTAACTTTAAATATGGAATTACTTAAGCGGATGGCTTTAGGAACTTGAATAGTCAAATAATTTGCTGGGCGTGCCTTTTACGAAAGATGTGACGATGTAATGAGGGTCTCAATGGAAAGATGGCTTTCACACCGAACGGTTACATTTTTTGGCCATTTTATACGGCTAATGCGAATTATTTTACAGTTACCTTATTTTTAGGACTTGCGGTTAAAATTTTTCAATTTTTACCTCCAAAGGCTAATTTTTTTCCGTTTTACGACTAACAGTTAACCCCATTGAGAACCACTAAGATCTACCTGGGCATGGCATTTGAACATGATTTTTGGCCTAGGGGGGCTGGAACCAATCTTCAAAAGCTAGAATTCCTGAAGGGAGGCGATGTTGAAGCTTTGAATTGATCGATGCATCATGTTTTCTTCTAACATAATACTTACAGTGTCCCTCCACCTAACGATGTCATCTGTTTGATAATAAACACCGAGAAAAATCGTGCCACAGTGTCTTCTTTCACTCACGACTGAGTCTAATGATGTTCCGTTAAAAGTTAACATATGGGTTTTCAACGGGGGAGGGGGTGGGGTCAAGTCCTCCAACAGTTGTATCTCTCAGCTTTTCAGTGAAACACTCTTCTAAGGTAACACATTCAATATTTATCTAATGAACTAGTTTTTTAGAAGTGTTATTCTCGTGGCCCAAAAAACCGCAAGAAGGGAACAATCCAATGTGTTTTTTGTATTTGTAAATATTTCGACCTTGCGTGACAAACGCTTGAGTGTGTTGAATTCATTGTAGTATCAGATAGCTTCCTGTCTTCAACATCGATCTTCGGCAAAGAACATTTCACCTGCCGTTATATATGATTGAATTGTCCTCTTTCAAGTCCACAATAAAGCTCAAGTTTACCCCAGAACTTTCCTAAGACTTATAGCTGTTCGAATACCCAAAGAAAGACAGACGCCCTCGCTAGCTTAAGGAATGTGTTATTGTAAACAATTCCGCCATGGGAAATGGATGAGAATTTGAAACGAAAGCAGAGATAAAAACCAATCTGTCGTGGTTAGCTATGCAAGGCTAGCTTACTGTATTGAGTTCCTGAGCGACCACGGTGCTAACTTCTAAAATGTGCTTGGAATTCCGGATTTAACCAAGGGTGCCTAGTTAGATTATGTCGTGACGAAAATGACGATGTTGCGATTTTCACAAAGTTCAGCCTGGTTTCCGTGCGGAAATGAAAAGCCCCAAATTAATTTTTTATACCCTCGAAAACAACACTATTTTCACTTATCATGAGCTTAACCTGAACCGATTCTGAGTTATACCGCATGGTGAAAATGATAATTGAAAATGTGCTACAAAATGCGATATTTGGATTTTGAAATACTGGTGATTTTTAAAAGCGTTCCGGGATGTCAAAATTAAATGAAACAGTCCCGCTTTGGACTTAAGCCTTATCTCATTCCTCCTATACAAATTTGTCAAATTGATACGAGCTTGCTTTCTTTTGCGCTTTTCATGAGCAAAGTTCATTAGCCTCTACTCGGGGCACTGATTTCTGCCATTTTACGACTACCGACGCTCGTTTCAGTTTTGGTGAATTTTCTAGGATAAAGAAGCAAGTCAAGGAAAAAAAACCTTACTACTTTTCTAAGTTCGCTATAAGGCATCTCTGACTGAAATATGAGGATAGTCATTTTTCGGTCGATGTGCCACCTCTCACGCGGTCTTGAAAAAAACTCGCTCTTAAAATCATTCAGCTTTAAATTTTTCAATGCATTTTAGTCCATTGTTGCTGCGACGAGAAAGGTTTTCTTCTTCCTCTTTGCATGACTTAAAAATCTAACGCCCCATTCGAAATAATTTCAGCTGATCAGTTCTGCAGTTGTTCCCATATTAAAACTCAAAGACCGCAGTGAAGGACTCGAGGGAGATATTAGTGTTGATGTTCAGAATGCCATATTTAACACATATCTGCAAAAGTGTTATGGCACAATGGATCCCAGGGTCGCTCCTTTGGTGACGACCATCAAGTACTGGGCTCAAGTATCTGGAATCACTGGAGCACTTTATCACAAGCTTTCTGGTCAGTGACGTGACGTGACTACTTACTTCACCACAGTTCATTACTGTTAATGATATTATCTAATTTAACATCTTAAGGCCTTCGTTATCATTGTTAGTATTGTTATTCCTCAAAACAAAGGTATTTTCACAAAGTAATTAATACCCAACACTGGCGCACGCTTCTAAAGGCAAAAAATATACGTCCTCATTTATAATAGCAGTTTTAACAAGAATGTTGAAGAGCATTAACATGGTTCATACAATTCTTCTCTTGACACCTCGTTCAGTGCAATACACCGTTTTCCTTTACAGTCTTCTTAAACACGTATACGTTAATGACAATACTCCCCCTTTTCTACGTACTTAATTGTTATGCAGGGAACTCGTTTTCAAAGGCAACTTCAGCAATGAATAATTTGGGGTCCTTTGAAAAAGTGCTTTGCTTTACGAAAAGCCAGGAGTATTTAAGCCTATTTGCTTCTTAAAAAGTGCATCTCTTATTTTAGTTTCCTTTTCTTTCTCTCAAAAAGGTTTTGCTATAGTTCTGTTAGTGATCTACTATTTGCAAAGAGGCTGTAGTCCACCCGTCCTTCCATCCTTACAGAAATTGAATCCAGCTCACTTTACCACATCTTCAAGCGCCAGCAGTACTGCAGAAAAACTGACCAGTGACTCTCTCCCAGCGGTTGTTACCTCATATAATTCAACTAATACAGCGACTCTTGGAGACTTGCTGGTGGGATTTTTCAGTTTTTACTGTGACTTCGATTGGCACCAAGTATTATCTGTTCGTCTTGCGGGCCCAAGGAGAGTGCCTTCTGATAAAAAGTGGACCCGTCCTTACATCCGCATCGAAGATCCTTTTGATCAAAAAAATGTCACACGCGCCGTTTATATGTTCCCACAATTCAGTGACATTAAGCGGGCGTTTAAAACAGCAAAAGGAAAGCTAGCATATGGTAGTTGTCGTTTGCATGAAATACTTTAGTTTTAATCTGCACCCTAAAGGTAAAAATTCATTCGAGTCTTGATTCACATACTCATAAGAGTGTGTTTTCGATCAAATACTAGGACTTTTTTACTCGATAAAGCAGGTTCTAAACTGTTTTGTAAAAAAGGACACAACTGGACAAAAAGTAACCCTGTTACCTAAATAGTTTTTTGTACGAATGACTACAAAACACACCAAATGCAAGGTACAAAGTTATGAAGAGAATCCTCCAAAGAAGTGTTCTCTAACATTATCCTTCCTCCGCCAAGAGACAGGAAACGGAATTGAATGGATGGCAATTGACACCCGCCACCGTTTCTGAATTTGAATAAGAACTTCTAATCGAAGTGATGGTTGTCAAGCCAGTCTTTTTAGAATTTAACTGAATTATTTTTGATGTTTCACTGACCTCGTGGCTATTGTAATCATGGACTTGAAATTTTTAGAAAATTTTTGCCACACATAACCTATGGTAATACCATAACTTCAGCTATATGAAAAAGACAATCGTCAGCAGGACAAAGTAATGGGGAAAGTTCTCAGATAAGAGTAGTGAGGGTGCCAAAGTAACTGCGTTAATGAGTCATACGTAAACTGATTGAGCTCGAGTAAATCGATAGTTCGCACCTGTCGCACGATTGAGAATAAATCATTTGTTTGCACATGTTGAGAGCATTGCAACTTGATTTTGTCACAATTCGATTTCCACCCATCAATTTCCAACATCTTACGCTTCAGTATCAGAGCATTTGTTTTTCACTTCCGAAAATATAAACTGAAAGAAAATAGAGTGATCAAAGTATTATTCATGACAACTCCGCAATTTTTCTTTGGGATTCACTGGGCAATATCTCTTATCAAAATCCCCAGTGTACTTTCTAGATACTTTATGATACGCGGTACTTTGAAATCGTCAAGGCAAAGGTGATAAAAAAAAAAAAGCTGCAAGATATATGCGATCAATTATCACAATAGCAAATTTCATTTTCTTGCGGCTTGTTCCTCGCTAGATTTGTTTTCGTGTTCTTTTCGTCTTTACAAAAAAGATTTCTGTCCTAAGTTTACGACTTACCCCAGTATGATCAGCACTAGATTGTTTAAGACTTCTGAAGGAGATTTTTAGACTCACCCCCCGTATCATACTATAAGCAACATGTGTTAGGGGGTCTAAGCAGAATATCTCAGAGTTGAGGCAAAACAATAGTAACTAAAGCAACGAATTTCAACTTTACTCTCACTTTTTTGCTCCCTTACAAGGTAATCACGGTTGGGGTATCAAGATGACATCCCACACAATTCATAGTCCTTTTTTAACTCTGCTCATGCACATCATGTTTTCTCGGATCTGATTTATATGATAATACAAAGTACAAGCTTACACACAATGCAACGTCTGCAATTTACTTTAATTTATACGCAAACTCAGCAAATTGCCTTTCAGCAACATCACTACGATCTCGTCTAAAAATATTAGTGGATTTTCGAAATGAGGAAGTACGGCGAGTACGTTCTTTGTCAAACTTTTTACCTTTTCCATAACAGGATGCTGAACCCTTAAAATCAGCCGTGAAGGTGTAACTTTTATTTGCTCGCACAGTAGGTGCAGGCTCAAATATTACGTCAAAGCCGTGATAGTTTCCCATGTCGCTTTCCATAGGTATAGATGAAAAAGTGCCCCTCACAGTGGCCACATTCAAACCGTAATTATCACAGAGTATTAGTTCTACATCATATTCTTTGTCCTCACTACCAAATAGTCGAACGGCCTGAAGTTCTATGGTCTTGTTAACCGAAAGAGTACATGTAATTTTATTAGGGATGTAGTTTACGAAAACGCCTGGCTTGAAATAATTTTTGAAAGAGTCCAACCACCCCCGTTGTGGCCCACTTCTTTTACTTTCAAGAAATCCAACTAGATTAGGAAGCACGCCATTAAAGTACTTCATCATGTTGTAAGCTTCTTTAGGTGTCAATATCTCGCAGTCAAGAACAACCTCGACGAACTCTTTCTCTTCCATGACCGGGAAACGAATATTTCCAACAATCCTTTCTCCAAGGACTCTTCTCTTCACGGACCCTTCTAGTGCCAGATTTTTCTTTTCACATTCATGTCCAGCCCAGCAGTCCACAGCTTTAAATAACTCCACTTCTGTAACTTTCAAAGAGTCTCTCTCCACTAGTTCCTCCAACAAAGATTTCTCGACTGTTGCGAAAGCAGCCGCTTTCACAGCTTCGTCTCCATGTTCATCAATCACTTTCCAGCATTTTTCCACCAGTTCTTTCGCTTCATATTTCTGTGCTACCTGCAGGACATGAAACACGTTTGATGCATCCACATTCTCTCCAAGAAGTTCCATGCACTTGTCAACAAGAGAAAGAAACATATATTTCTTCGCCAAATACAACACTTGCATAACATTGTCCGCATTCAAGTGCACTTCATCGCTGTAAATAAAGCGGAACAGCTCCAATACGCCTCGATATTCGCAGTCAGAGATGTTGATGGAGTCTTTTGTCTCTGCTAGTTCACCGTAGAACATGGCGTAAAATACTGGGCTGCTGATCGCCAACACGAACTTGTGAGCTGGAATCGTCTTCATGCTTTCACTTCCGGCCTCAGTGTCTCGCACAACAAACTTCACATCGCTCAAGAGCTCGTTGTTGAACATTAACTTACATCTTTCTCTGATCGTACACCTTTCCATCTCACTCCAGTAATCTTGGCTGACTACAGCAAGAGCCATACTTCCTGAAAGATTAATTCCAACGGAGTCAGATATCAAACAGTCGCTTCGTTCTAATTTAAAGAGTAACGGCAGCCCTGAGAGTCACGAAAGATGGATAATACTGTATGCTTGACCAGCAGCCACTTACTTATCGAGATATGTCATGTAGACTATACTCATATATGACCAATGTCAAATAAGCTGGCTCTACCCTCGGACTGTCTCCAGAAGTACAACAACACTCATCGTCTGCAGCTGGTACAACTATCTGCATTGTCTACAATAGATACGGACTCGAATATATGATCATCATCGGTCAAAGAATGATTTTTTCCAGGACTACGCATTAGGGGAAGGTCTCATATGAGAGTAAAGGCAGTGCCACATGACTAACAAATGATGAATCGCCAGTTATGGGGAAAGAGATAAGTTGATGACACGATTCGTAACACAACTGAGGCTTTGGTTGAACTGTTGAAACGACTACAGAACGAGTGGGCTTACAGACTCAAGTAGAACCGCGCGGGACCCGAGGCCACGCATGCCTATAACTAATGTACCGCTGTCCGGTAATGGCGCATGAGGGCAACACGGGAAGTTGGGCTGAGTGCAGTAACAAAGCTTACACAATCCCTTACCCTGCTCCAGTATGAGCTGAGTAAATCGATGGCTTGCGCTTGTTGTACGAATAAATCGTTCGTTAGCTGGTTTTTTTTACGTTGCATGCGACTTGATTTTGTTAGGAAGCGATTTCTACCCATCAATTTCCTACATCATCTGTTCCACTTAAAAATATTTTTTTTATCATTTCAGAAAAAATGTCATGAAATATGATATTGATCAAACTCTTGCTTATGCATGGACAACTCCGCAATTATCCTTCGGGAAGCTGAAGGGTAGTCTTTCTTGACAACATCCCCGTCACCAACATC